TATACATTATATATGTATATAGACTATTGCTATTTAGAAATAAGTTCTTAAACTTATTTTCTCAAACAGAGAACAGTAACTAAAGAAGTAAAACAACCAATTATCTCTTCTAGTTATGAACTTTGTACTCAGTTGTTTCTTGACATTGGTTGCTAAGCCTTTAAAAAATTTGCACGTGGAGGATATGAAACAAAATAATTTTTTTAGGTTTTATATATACATATGAATAACTAAAAAATCATAAATTACTACATTAATACCATATAATTCATCAAGCTTAGTATCTAAGATATATTTTAGTCTAAAAAATATTAAATTTCGAGCAGACTAAAGACACACCTTACCTCATTGAAATATTGGTTAAAAAGAAAGAAATAGCTGAGAAAGCCACTAGAGGGATATTCTAACCTTCTGATTGGTTATTCATGTCATATATAGAAGTAAGTGAATATAAGGGAGCATTTCCAAAAATGGAAAGTGGTGGGTGGGGTGCCACTGTATTTGATTTATTACATGAGCAATATCTTAGAAAATTGAAAAGATAAAGAGGCTCTTATTTTTTATTCTAGCTTGTGACTATAGGTAATTTGAGTTTCTAATTCGTACGAAACTATAGACTTAGTATTTTGACTTCACTAGTTTGAACCCGTGCTGCATTCAACATACCACGTGACACACAAAAATCGATGTTTATCTGTGTTTTGTAATGTTTGCTTTTAAATCAAGAAATTGAGTAATATATAGTACTAAAATGTGAATTATAATCTACAATTTGATACCAAAGGTGTTGACATAAATTCACGAAATAGTAGTTCAATAAAATTTTGAATGCAAGTCAACAAACGAGATGACATGGCCTGTCACCTGTGACCCAGCTCGAAAGGGTTAAAGAATAAAATTTTAAAAAGCATTACAAGTATAAGAAGATTAAATTTACTACAATGATGAGAGATTTGAAGAACTATAGAAGATCAAGAGAGTTGGTCAAATGGGAAATTAGAAAATAAAAAAACTATATGAGATAAACGATGCTTTGCAGAGTCCTTTAACAAAATTTAAAACTTTGTTGGCTAATCAGCATATGGGCAAATCATCCCATACTTATCTTCTAACTGTTTTTGAAGAAGTTTCTGCTTATGTAGGTGAAGATACAGGTGTGGATGTGGTGTATATGGATTTTCAGAAAGCATTTGGCAAGGTGTCACATAAAGCTTTTTAAAAAGTTATCTCTGTAGGTGTGGAGGATGGGTGGCTCATTGGAAAGAAATGTGGCTAGGTGGAAGAAAGCAGAGGGTTGTTATAAATGGAGTTCAGTCAAACTTGATTAATGTCACAAGTGGATTACCTCAGGGCTCAGTGTTAGGATCTTTGCTCTTGTTGATTTACATCAATGAAATAGATGAAGGAATGGTTAATAAATTATTTAAATTTCCTGATGACATTAATGTTTTTGATGCTGCTGGCTCTGAGGAGGAAGATACTGTCTTGCAAAAGGTTTTATATTATTTTATGAGTTGGGCAAATAAATGGCAGATGGATTTTAATTATAATAAATGCAAGGTAATGCATGTGGGATATCACAATTTGAATTTTGAGTATATTTCTGAATGGAATAACCTTAACAGTGTTGTGGAGGAAAAAAGATTTTGGTGTTCTGGCTGATCAGTCTCTCAAGCCATCTGAATGATGTGATGTTGCTAGTGGCAGGGCAGATAGGATTGTAGGTTGTGTGTACTGAAATACTGAATACAAGTTTAAAGAGGTTATAATGTCATTGGTTAGGCCACATTTGGAGTATTATCTTAAGCCTTGGGGTCCTTTCTTCAGAAAGGACATTGAATTTTTGTAAAATAGAACTACTTAGATGATACCTGTGATGAAAATATTATCATATGAGGATAGGTTAAGATCTGTGAAATAATTTTATTTTAAAAAAGAAAGAGTTAGAGGGGATCTGATTGAGGTGTTTAAAGATTATTAAGAGAATTGATAGTGTTGATGCATCATCTTTTTTCATATTTAATGGTGAGAATGGTAAGACTTGGAGACACAAATTTTAGCAGGGAAGAAGTCATCTTCAGTCAAGACAGTTTTATTTTTCTAACAGGATGATTGGCCTTTGGAATGGGTTGCCTTCAATATGATGCAATAAGATAGTTTAAGGGAAAGCTTGATAAAAATTTAAATCATAAGGGTTGGCTTTGAGGTGGTTTGGGGTTTAGTTTAATTTAGTGGATAGGACAGCCTAGATGTCGTTTGTTGTCATGTTATTTGACATGTAAGTTTCAAATGTTCACTTTGCTTTAGGTTTATTTTTTAAGAGCACTTAGACCCATTAGTTCTAGTTTTCATCGGTTCTATTAACTAGAAGGTACAGTCATTTTTTTCAAACAAGCTTAAATTGATAGATGGAGTATGTTGAATCTTCCAAGATCCAAACTTCCCTGTCTAAATGTATTTTAAGTCAATATTATATTAATTTGTAACAACACAGATGAAGAAAAAATATTTTTGATATGTATAGGCCAATAAGGGAGTGATGTATTAATATAACAATGAGGTTCTCTCTGCCACATATTTTTTTTTGTAATTCATAAGCTCTCAGTCACAGTTTCAGCATTATAATTTTCTTTTAGGTGTTTCTATCTACAGATTAACAATCAGAGTATTTGAATCTAGTAGTCATGGCAGTACTAGTAACAAGGTTATTTGTATGCTAAAAGATCAAGGTAAAGATCAAGGTCCACAATTTTTGGGGGATATTTTTTTTTATCAAACGTAAAATATTTGGAGTATATTCTCATGACATCTTAGCCTAAAAGAATACAAAAAGCACATATTTGAAGACAGAGCATAATAATTTTTGCCTTTAACTTTTTTTTATCATCTTCATTGTTGTGTTTGACCAACTAAAATTTACTTTAATATACATTTATTGATTTGGCTTGTCAAAACAAGGAGAAATAATAATAAACAGCTGAGTGCAGTAAATATATTTAATATGAAAACTGTAAAGCTATTGTATTTTTTACCCTAACAAATTAGACTGATAAAAGGAATGTAAGGTTCAGGTTCAAAAATGTTTCAAATCAATCTTGTTTGATCAGCATTGCATCATAAACTGGAATTGTGTATCTATTAAACATAGCAATGGACCTCTGAACTAAATCTAGTTGAGCAAAGAAATGACATTTACATTCCTTAACGTGTTTATTGTTTCATATACATTGAAACATTTATAATAGGAATACAGTTTTTTTTTTTTTTTAGTCATTAAGCTGTCTGTGAACTGTGTGGTGCTTACTTGCAAACATGAGTTATATCATGTTGAAATGGAGGTTTTGCTCTGTAAAACAAATAAGTATTAATTTTTTGGTAATAATTAAGATGTGCCTCATTGAATAAATGGTTTTGGATGCATAAATGGGAATAATGTATCCTAAGAATACTACTGTCTACTTAAATGTAATTTATTAATGATATAAATAAAATTACATCACAACAATTGTTATGAGTGAGCTAAAAGCCTCTTGCAGTGATAATGTGATAAGCAAAATATTCTCTATGAGAAAAAAAAAAGACAAGTTTAAAATAAAAGAGAAGTACTGACATATTTGTGGCCTCACAACAGTAACAAAGAATAAATTTCAAGTGATTGTTAGATATAAAAAACATAGTTCTTTACTTTTCATCCAGTTAACTATTGCATACAAAATATTTTCTATGCACTAGATTCTGCAGAG